TGCCAAGGTCGGCTCGCGCTGGCTGTGGATCGTGCGGGCGTCGGCCTCCATTTGGCGCCGTGGTCGCCTGTCGTGTCGCTGCGGCTGCTGTCGCCGTCGCCGCCTGTGCTTGGTTGTTTCTCTGCCTGGACCTCGTGTCCCCTCGTGGGCGCGCGCAAGGCCAACGTATAATCTGCAGCTTGCCATCGCTCGCACGTCCACTCCCCGTGGGTGGTTCGGATTCATGCGTATTTCTGCTGTTGATTGATGATCTGGGATGCCCGTTGATGGCCCTCGCCCCCAAAAAATGCACACGTCCGAACGACGCCGACTAACAGTCCTCCTTGCGCGCGGAGAAAGACGCAACGGCATAACACACAAACTGTCGGATCTCTGCGCGGATTTCCAGGATCAGCGCGCGGAGCGCGCCAATGACGGAGCGCGCCACGGGCGGCGCCAGAGGCGCCGCCATGGGGGGCCCAGTTGCCGATCCGAGAAATCCGCACGGCGCTACGGACATGTCTGTTTACCCGCTGGTCGGAAGAAGTGGGTCGAGACCTGAAAAAAGGGGGCGTTGGAAGAAGACTGGGCCACCGCCTGCCCTCCTGAAGAGGGAAGGGGGAGCACCGCTCGACCCTTGCAACAGGACGGCGGCGCAAGCATATTGGGACCTGCGAGTCCAAACAAACCATTTGCAACGACCGACGGGCATGTTTATGCCGTTGGTTGCTCCTCGGACTCAGTCCCGCCATGCTTGGGTGACCCCCCGGTAATCCCTGGAGCCGGCCAGCGTCTGCATCGCCCCGCTGGCCATCACGCTGTGGATCAGGCCCCACCTTTTTTCCACGGCTGCCGCATGGTCGCTGGTGCCCGCGCCGCAGAGCCAGGGGATGCTCGCGTGAGCGTCCTCGAACCAGCTGAGCTGGCATCTGGCCCGAAGGCTGCTTCTCGCAACTCGCGCCCAACGCCAAGGAAAAAAAGGGGGCCCAGGGGCCCCTCGGCCCCGACACGCCCCCGACCAACGCCTATGGGCGTCCCGAGTGGCGCGGCCAACCAAACGGACACATGGCGGCCCACTTCCCGACTCACGCCCCACCGTGACGAGCCGCTCCGCCCCCCGGGAGGGGGGGATATCAGGACAATGCTCGAGCTGAGCAATGCTTTCCGATTTTGATGTGTTGTCTTTGTTCCTTGTGTTGTCTTCGCTCCGCCTTCGCTGCGAAGCGAAATCCGTGCGAAAATGGCCAATGAACGAAGCAACTCCTCGGAAGTTTTCAATCTACCTTATTGGGGGCCACGCAGCCGAATCAGGCTGGATGAAGCCCGGGATCGAATCCAAATTGAGCTAGAGGTGGCTGGATTGCGTGATATTGGAGTTTCAGAAACAGCGGCACTGGTCTTCAATATTTCCCATGGGCGCAGGCCGTCATTTGGTTTTCGGGAAGTAGGCTGTATGACTGACTTACGGGAATGACACATGAATCATCAAAGCCGTTCGGAGGCAGTTGTATTTCAGGGGGTGGGGATATTTCGGTGGCGGTCTTGAGCCAGGGGGTGGGGATACTTTTCGCTGGTAGGTATAAGCCCAAGAGGGGGGGATATTCAGATGGCACTTGGTCACTTGGGCCAGGGGCGGTGAGGATATTTCGCGGCAGTCTTGGGCAATGGGGGGGGAGATATTTCGCTGGCAGTGTTCAGCCAAGAGGTGGGGATACGTAGCTAGCAGTTGTAGGCCAGGGGCGGTGAAGATATTCCGCTGGCAGTTTCCAGCGAGGGGGGTGCGGCGAGGGGTGTGAGAAAAAACTCGCTGGCAATTTTAAGCCAAGGGGCGAGGTTATTGCGCTGACGCTTCTGAGGATATTTCGCTGGCAACGCTCGGCCAAGGCAGTGGCGATATTCCGCTGGCAGTTTTACTTTGGCCAAGGGGTGAATACATTTCGGTGGCAGTTGTAAGGGGGGGAGACATTTTGCACGTCAGGGGGTTGAGGCAATTCCGCTGGCAGTTTTAAGCCAGGGGGGTGAGGATACTTCGGGGGGCATGGGCGAGAGGGCGGAAGGGGGACGAGGACGAAAAAGAGGTGGCGAAAGCGGGGGGGGGTCGGAGGCAGGGCCTGAAACTCGTGCTCGGTGCGGGCACCCACGCGCCACACGATGCGCTGTTGGGTCTTGCCAGAGGCCGCGCTCGCACCGCAATGCTGCGCCCGTATCTCTCTCTCTCTCTCTCTCTCTCTCTCTGTATATTTGTGTATATACATACATATATGTATATATGCTTTCCCATTGGCGTGGGGTTGACCGGGGGGCCAAGGGGCGAGCTCTCAGGTGTGTCACCTGTTGGTTTCCAGGCGTCCTTTTCTCGCGCCGATCTGGGAAAAAAAGGCTGGTCTTGGAGGGAGGCCCCCGCGTGCATGACCCATATCCCTCAGGAGCCGTTCGCTTCGTCCCCGAGGGGGGCCTGCGTCGTCCGACAAAGGGGCGGAGCAATGACTTGGAATCGGCGATGCATCGCCAATATATCGGCGATAAGCCCACGGTGACAAAACCGCGCGCTCCTTGGCAAGGTAAGGCACCCAGGCCCCAAGCGCCGGGGTACGAACGATTGGGGGTCGACGCCACCCCTTTGACCCAGTCCACGTGTCGGCGCCCATGGCTGGGGCGGGTGTCCTCCGTTTCCTCGTCCTCCTCCTCCTCCCCCCCCCTCCTTCCTGCCCCCTCCCCCCCCTCCCTCTGCCGGGCCCCGTGGCTGGATCGGGTGCCCCAAACGTCCTCCGATCTCGAGCACAATGAAACCGAAGATTTTGACCCGTTCTGGGCCTCCCGTTTTTCTTCCCAACCGGGCCCCGGAACCGTCGCCGAACGGGCGGACGAACGGAGGGTTAAGTCGGGCGTGTCCCCCTACGGAAGGGTTTTCGACGAAAAACAAAACATACCCCAAACATGCATTTTTTTTATTTGCGGCCCGCAAGGAGAAGTCCAGGGGGCGTGTCACTAGGCAATGGGGCGCAACGCCAGATAATTAGGGATGCAGAAGACCACTGGGCGAATGCCAGCGGAAACCAACGAGGAGGCGCCCTGACGACGCCAGCTCGCAAGCGGAGCTGCCTCAGACTGTCGGCAGACTGTGCACAAGCCAGGACCCACAGGTGGGGAAACCTGACCAGCCAGCGGCCTGTAAGGAAAAGCCCAGGGAGCAAGACAATTGCACAAGGAGAAGCCGGGCCAGAAAAATGCCAAACGGCTGGACGCGCAGGCCGATGCCGCGCGGCCCAACAGCCCGATGCCGAGAGTGCACATGCAAAGAACCACTGAGCGATTGCCAGCGGAAGCTACGAGGAGTTGCCCTGAAGGTACCAGCTCGCAGGGGGAACCGCCACAGACGCCGGGCACAGAGCCTGTACCCCTGCAGCCGCTAGGGACGTAGCCCGGGAAGAAGCGAGAGGACAAAGCAGGAAAAGAGCACAGAAGGCCTAGTAACGAGGCGGACTCATTCACAGAGCACCCTGTGCTCGTCGGTGGCCCTCCAAGGCCCACCCCGCGGAGACCAGACGACACCTCCCAAGTGTCGGTGGGCCAACGACCTGGAAATGACGAATGAAGAAGAACAGCCGCGGCGAGCACCACATCCCATGACGCCACTTTACCCCAAACATACCCCAAACTCACAGAAAAAAAAACATAACTCAAAACATACCCCCAAACATACCCCAAACATCAAAGGTCACAAACAATTCAAAAGATAGTCCCCGGACTATTTGTGGACTATGTTTTGAATATGTTCGTGGTACTTTTTCCATCGAAAATCCCCCTGTGGGGGACGGGCCCGATTTAAACGGAGGGCTCTTGTCAGCCTTCGGTCTCCGCACAAAATTCAAAAAATAGTCCCCAGACTATTTTTGTAATATCTTTTGACTATGTTTGTGGTATTTTTTCCGTCGAAAATCCCCCTTGTAGGGGGACAGGCCCGAATCAAACGGAGGGCTCTTGTCGGCCTTCGGCCTCCAGGGGGCCCTGGTCCAGGCCCTGGGGCCGCCGAGAGAAGCACGGCCCTGGACGCGACGGCGGCCGTTCCTGCGGGGGATGGGCCGAGGCCTGCCCGGGGCCACGCCGCGACCAGAATCGCAACGTGGGCGCGGCCTGGCTCGGGTCGGGCGAAAGGGGGGGATAACAAAGGGGGGGGTTGAGAATCAGCTCACGTGGCGGATTTTCCCGGCGCCTCCCGGCGCCGGAGGCGGCTGTGTATCGAGGACTGGGCCCCACGGCGAGGCCGACGCCAGCTGCATGCAGCAGATTTCGTACCCCCCCCTTTCCAAATCCCCCCTCTCGTCCGCCCCCACTGGCGTGAGGCTGGCTGGCGCGGCGCGCCGGCGTGGCCCGCACCCCTCTGGGGCGGCGGGGGGGGGGGCCTTGGCCGCTCTGGGCCCCGTCTACGCGGGGGCGCGGATGGAGCAGGGCGCCGGCGCGCTCGAGGAGCCGCAGCCGCGGATCGCACCGCGCGCGGCTGCGTCACTGCATGTCGCACGCGTCTGTTCACGCGCCCAGGCGCGGCCGCGGGCGGGCGGGTGCTCGTGGACGCGCGCGCGCGCGCGCCCCTTCGCGCGCGCGCTCCAAAGCCTGCTCACGAGCCAAGGGGGTGCTTGGTGGAAGCTGCCTGCGATGCGCTGCCCTGCCCAGGAACTGTGCGCCCAGGGGAAGTGTTTTCTGGAAGCTGCTACGGGAGCACTACCTTAGAAAGGCCTTGGAACTGCGAGCGAGTCTTGGAAGCGTTCCCTAGGGACTGTGCGCGAGCGGAGGAGCTGCCTAGCAGCTGCGCGCGAGCCTCGGAAACGCTGCGACAGGGCGGTGCAAAGGCTTGCGGCACACGCATTGGGAACGAGTCGGAGAAAGCTTCCCGCACAAACTAGAGGGCCCAGCAAGGCGCTGCGGTGCTGCCTGACCGGCAGCCGTGGGGAGGAAGCTGTAATCACCTGCCTGCCGGCTTCTTCTCCAAAACCCGAGGAGCTATCCTGGAACATTCTCCTCTCTTACCCCGCCAGGTCTGGCAGCGTCGTGGCTAGCAAAGTCCTGGTCTCCGCGCCCTAAGATGCCCCTGCTGATGGGGGCCTGGCTTTAGGTCGGGCATGTCCTCCTACATGAGGATTTTAGACAAAAAATTAAGATATTCAAGACATGCACCAAAACTGTCAAAATGGTAGAAGAATCGTCCCCTGATTATTTTTGGGCTAGTTTTGGATATTGCTCCTGCAAAGGGTCACGCCCGACCTAAGCCTGGCTGTCGCTGCAGGGGGGCACCTGTCTGCGCAGGGGCCCCGCGAGCCCTTCGACCTCGCTGAGGGCGGCGGGCCGGACGTGGCGGGCTGGATGCGGCGGCTGCGACGACGGCGGCGCCGATGCCCCCAGACATGGCCAGGCACGTCCAGAAATCCCCATGGGCTGTCAACAGCGTCGAGCGAACCAACACGAGGACGACTCGTCGCCGCCGAACCGCAGCCAAGGGCCGCCGAACGCCGCCGGGGACCGCCGGGGGCTGCGACGGACGCCGAGAGCGGCCGCGACGCCAGGGGCGGCGGCGGCTGCGCCGGGGTCCGGGGACGCAAAGGAGGCCGCGACGGAGGCCCTCTTCTTGACGCTGACCCTGCGCGCGGGCCGTCGCGCGGCCGGCTCCAGGACGGCGGGCGGATCGGGCCGTCGTCCGCGCCGCCACCGCCGTCGCCGTTTGCACTGTCCTCCTTGTCGTCGTCGGTGTTCGCATCGTCGTCGCCGTCGCCGTGAACTCCCCCTGGCGTCGTCTGCGCCTCATGTCTTGAGTCGTCGGCGTCGCTCGTCTTGCGTCGTCGGTGTCGTCGCTGCTGTCCGCGTCGAAGAAGGCAGAAGGGGAGGCGGCGGAGGGGCAGCGGAGGACGAGGGGAGGAGGGAGAACAATGTGTTCAGTGCCCATCAGTTGTGAATGATGGTAGCCATGGTTGCCACGGCCTCGCCCTCTCTCCGGAAGGGTCGCGCCTGGTCATGCCTCTGCTGCCGCTTCGCCTCCCTTTGCCCGCATCCTTACCTAGAGGCCTCCTTGATGGGGTCGGAGCAGATGGGGTCGGAGGATCGCGCCGCATCGCCGATACATCGGCGATGCACGGGCGTCAGGGGGGGAGAGGGAGTGCAGCAGGACGAGGAGGAGGAGGACGAGGAGGAGGAGGAGGAGGAGGAGGAGGAGGAGGAGGAGGAGGGGGGGAGGAGTAGGAGGACGACGAGGAGGAGGAGGAGGAGGAGGAGGAGGAGGGGGGGGGAGGGGGAAGGGGAGGAGGAGGAGGAGGAGGAGGAGGAGGGAAGGAGGAGGAGGAGGAGGGAGAGGAGGGGGAGGGAGGAGGAGGGGGAGGGGGAGGAGGAGGAGGAGGACGAGGAGGAGGAGGAGGAGGATGGAGAGAAGGGCGGATGAGGAAACGAGGAGGAGCAGGGGCAGGAGGAGCGCCGCCGCCGGCGACGGGCGGCTAGCGTCAGGGGTGTCAGGGGGGAGAGGGAGCGCAGCAGGACGAGGAGGGAGTAGGAGGAGGAGGAGTAGAGGGAGGAGGAGACAGGAGAACGACGAAGAGAAGGGATGGTGAGGAGGAGGAGGAGGAGGAGGAGGAGGAGGAGAAGATGCAACGGCGACGTCCGCGTGGAGGAAATCGGGCTCCGCATCGAGCCACATCGGCGATGCACCGGCGATGCGGCGCGATCCTCTGACCCCGCCTGCCCAGACCCCACCTGGGAGGCCCAGATGAACTGTGCTCGGGCGAGGCTGCAAGACCGCGCCGTCAGCCGAACCTGCATGGTGGACCCACTCCCTTTCTGTCCAGTTCAACTTTGGTTTCGTCTTCAGCTGTGGTGCACTTCGAGCCAGCTCACCCCAGACATTTTTCAGCTCGCACGGACGCCTCGAGCGCGTTTCTCTATTCGCGGCGATAGCGGGCTCGGGGACTGACTGACCCGGGTCAATCCTTGCAGAACCCTTCAAAATCCTGCAAGATCCTGCACCCACCCCTGGGTGAATGCGAAAGATCCTGCAAAATCCTGAAGGATCCTGCGCCCAAACCCGGGTCAATGCGACCCTGGCCCTTCAGGATCCTGCAAGATCCAGCAATCTGGCTGACCCCCGTTTGCATCGACCCCCGTCTCTGGAGCCCCGACTGGCGTTATGGGGGGGGGCTGGGGGGGGGGGGGGCATAATGTAACGCCCGCGTCCCCCCCGCTGTGCAATTCCGGCGCCACCACAGCGTCCGCGCGCACGACGAGCGACGAGCGACGACGACGACGACGAAGACGACGACGACATCGACGACGACGACGATGACGAGCGATCACAACGACGACGATGACGATGACGATGAGAGACCAAGATGACGACGACGGCGGTGGCGGCGGCGACGACGACAAAGACGATGGGCGATGACGATGACAACGACGACGACCGATAACGAAGAGCGATGACGACGACGACGACGAGCGACGACGACACCGACGAGCGGCGAAGACGACAACGACGACAACGACGACGACGACGACGAGCGACGATGACGACGACGTCGACGAGCGACGAGGACGACGCCGAGGATAACGACGGCGACGACGACGAGCGACGCCTCTGGAAGTTCCCCGAGGCCTCTGGAGGCCTCCTGAAGCCTCCGGAAGCCTCCAGAAGCCTTCTAGAGGTTATCCAGAAACCTCTGGAAGCCTCTGGAAGCCTTCCTGAGGTTTCAGAAGCCTCTAGAGGCCCTGGAAAGCATTCGAAGGCGTTTGACAACGACGGGCGACCGCGAGCGATGACGACCGACGACAGAGACGACGACGATCAAGATGATGATGACGGCGACGACGACGACGACGACGACGGGCGACGACGACGACGACGGGCGACGGCGACCGACGACGACGACGACGATCGACAACGAAGAGCGACGACGACGACGACGACGGACAACGAGCGACGGCGACGACGACGACGACGACCAGGACCACGACGAGAACACCAACGACGCCGACAACGACGACGACGACAACGACGACGACCGACAACGAAGAGCGACGAGGAGTTGTTGCGAGCACATGCCCGCGAAGGCGTCATTGCCTCCGCATGGCTCAAAGAGATATGCTCCTTACCTCCCTCCTCCAACGTCGTCGTCGTTGTCGTCGTCGTGACTCAAGTGCCTGAGATCACCGCAACTTGCCCGCGACCACCGTCCCTATGCGGATCTCTATATGCGAATCCCTATGCGGATGCCTCTGGCGTTCCCTCTGCGGATCCCCCTGCGAATCCTTATGCGGATCCCTATGCAAATCCCTATGTGGATCTATACAAGGATGCCTATACGAATTGACATGCGGATCCCTGTGCGGATACCTGTGCGGATGCCTATGCGGATGCCTCTGAAGATCCCTATGCGGATCCCCACGCGGATCCCTATGCGGATCCCTATGCAGATCCCTACGCGGATCACTATAAGGACCCCTGGGAATCCCAACGCGGATCCCTATGCGGATGCCGATGGATATGTCTATGCGATCCCCACGCGGATCCCCATGCCAATTCCTGTGCGGATGCCAATGCGGATTTCTGTTCGGGTTCCTATGCAGATCCCGATGCGCACGGTGGCAATGCCGGGGATCTACTGCTGGCCGGAGCGTTACGTTATGGTGGGGGGCGGTGGGGCCATGACACGCGTTATGGCCCAAACAATAAAGAAACACGCTTCTCTGAAGGGAAACTGGGACACACAAATAAATACGCACAAATAAAAGGATTCCCCATATTTTCTAATATTTTCTGGGTTTTTGTCTTCCCCCCCACTTCCCGTATTTTCCCATCTTTTCTGGGGAATCGACGATTAATTGTGTCTGTGTGTTTTTCCCCCTCCAGATTCTCCCTCCTTCCATCGTGCTCCTCTGTGGCTTCGATCCGCGCCGCGTTGCGCTCATCCGCACCGAACCAAACAGGAGGCCGAGGAGTCAGGAGGAACATCAGGGTGCAACCAGCACAGGGGGCGAAACATCGACTTGAAACCGGCGGAACAACACCGATAGATCGGCGATGGGCCCCTGGTGCCGATCCCGCACACGACCTGGGCGTGGTGGGGCTATCGGGCCCCTGTGGGCGATGACTTGGCGATTGTGGGCCGACGCGTCCCCCGCATCCCCTCCCTACTTGCCATCGCTCGGACGTCCAATCCCCGTGCTTGGTTCGGTGTCGTGCCTTCCTCGTTGTTCGCAAGATGATCCAATCTGCTCCTCGATGGTCCTCGCCGAGAACAAACGCACGTCCGAGCTATGTCTTGATGTTGCTTGGCGGCGCGCAGAGGGGGGTGGGGGGAGGGGGAGGGCTTCTTAGAAGCAGGCTGCTTCTTAGAAGGCGCCGGCCTTACGTCTATAGATAAGGCCCGCGCCTTCTAAGAAGCAGGGGTGCTTCTAAGAAGCCCTCCCCCCTCCCCCCACCCCCCTCTGCGCGTGGCTGAGTTGCCACTGGAAAGGCGCCTCTGCATGCGGAACATGTTCTCCGCGCGCTTCACCACCGCGTTGCGCCTGGTCTGGCTGGGCGTCTTACCCACCTGGTCGGGCGTGGGAGGGGGCAGGGCGAGTCGGCAGCGAGACGAGGGGCTAGGAGGCAACTGCTGGGAGGTCTTTGTCGGAACGATTCAGAAAGACTTGGCCCCAATGAGGAATTACAGTCGGGGCGTTGACCTAAGGAGCCCTAAATAAGGAACGAGGCCACTTTTTTCCATAAGTTAAACTCCGATTTCCCATCGAAACCCTAAGCAAAACCAAAGGCGAACTGCAAAACAACTAAGGAACACCGAGCCCCTCCCCAACGAAAAGGGTGCCTTCCTCAGGGCCCCGACTGTACTACGCCGGATTAGGCCGCGGATAGCAAGGAAGTAAGCCGGATGAAGCAGGATCTGACCAAATCAAGCGGGATCCAGCCAGATTGCGCAAGATTTCGGACCAGGGCAAAATCAGAATTTGACCTCCACGGAGCTGCATCCGAAGAAGGAGGACGGATGCCGACGCACACCTGTAAGATTCGCGCAGCCTCGTATCTACTAGGAGGGTGCAGTGAGTACCCAAAGCTGTTCCCAAACACCTGCCCGTGTGTGACCGACACCTGCGCCCGAACGTTTCCGAACGCACCAAAATGTGATCGAAACTGGCGGTTCCAAAGCAAAGCGGGGTTCAATTTCGGTCTCACGACGTTACGGTCACATTTTCGGGCATCTACCCAGACCTCGATGCTTGTCGGTCACACACACACACCTTTTTGGCTGACAGGGGTCAGGCGCTGTGACAACACCTGCCTCAGAACAGTTCTATGCTCCAGGGCGCTCGGGGGCGCAAACATGGATTAGCGATCCATGGAATTGGAACGCGGTCGCCAAATCCATGGATCGGGGGAGGTGCCCTCGCCAAACAGCGGCCGGTGCCGCCTCGCTCGGCGGCGGAAATCCACGATTTCCCATGGAAACGGGACCCGTCACTGATCCACGCCCCCTTGATCCATGTTTTAGGGGAATGACATAAACATAAAAACTCGGAGGTCCGCGCGGATTTCTCGGATCCGCGCTGGAGCCCCCCGGCGGCGCCTCCGGCGCCGCCCCTGGCGCGCGGAGCGCGCCAGGGAGGGGGGTCCAGCGCCGATCCGAGAAATCCGCGCGGACCTCCGAGTTTTTATGCTTCCCCTAGGTTGAAGGGGCCCTGGGACACACAAATAAATACACACAAATCAAAAGATTCCCCATATTTTCACATATGTTCTGGGTTTTTGTCTTCCCGCCCGATTCCCATATGTTCCCAGATTTTCCTGGTAATTGACGATGAATTGCGTCTGTGTGTTTCTTTCCCTCCCGATCCTTGACCTTCCAGAGAGCTATTTTTTTAGCACTGGAGACCTAAAAACTTAAAACACGGGACGAAACAGCCTAAAACCAAGACGTGGAATAGCTCTGGGATAGCTTTTTAAGTCGCGTGCTATTTTTTAGCCCTCCTGGAAGGTCAGGGATAGGTCTGCGATCGCCCGATCCACGGCGCGCGGGGAAGCGACCCCCCCGAGGCCTGCACCCCCTGCCAGGCCACCGGTGCTGGCCGGCGGCGGCCCCCGGGCCCCGGGGAGGGGGGCACCCGGAGGCCGCGGAGGGCACGGACGGCCCAGGCGTCGAGTGTCTTAGCGGCGCGAGGGACCGACCGTCCCGGCATGTCCTATGGTCCTACGACGAAGGGTTCTCAGAACCCAAGAATGTGCTCGAAGAACAAAAACCAGCCTCCTTAGAACATGAGCCCGATGTGGTCAAACAAGACCGTCCCAGCCAGAAGCGTTCTAGGAACATCTCGTGGAAACCACAAACAAGTTCTTAGAACATTGTTTGGTAGGGCTACAGGCACGCCGGGACGCTTCACCACTGCTTGAGAGGGGCGCGCGAGACGTGCCCGGCAGGGGGGGCGGGCCGATTGCGAGCGGCCTGCGCGGCGAGGCCGTGGCCGCGCAGACGGAAGGCGTCGTTCTGGAGCGCCTCGTCCGGAGCCTGGCCAAACTTGGCCCCCGCGTATTCAGACCTCCTCGAGTCATGAAAAAATCACGACGGGAGGTTTTTCGCTATTTTCGGCCTCTTAGGGCCCTCGCCGGGCCTCGGGACCGTCAAAAAACGACTCGGGATGAAAAACCGGTCCCGGGGAATGGGTCTGGACCTCTGGGGGTCGCGTCATGAAAAAATCATGACGTCGGGGGTCTGGGTATTCTGGAGCCCTTCTCTGAGCAGGGTTTGGGGCTCTCCCCGAAGCAGTGGCCTCCTCGGAACAGTGCTCGCCGGACTGAGCGACCAGGGGAGGGGGGGCCGAGGAAACTAACAAGGGGGTCCGGCTCAGGAGGGGAAGTATAGAGCTTGACTCGACGGTCCATGGCTGATCGATCTGCCATAGGCCCGCCATGGCGAAACGGCTTCTGAACTGAATTTGGACGCCCGATATGGGTCCTGAAAAAATTGGTTCAATGCCCATCAACAAATGGTGTCCCAAACCAACAGCGGCCGCTGTTGGGCATGCGGCCTCTGTCTCGAATGGACACAGGCCGCGGCGGCGCGGACAGCGAGTCCTGTTCAGAATGAACAGGAACTGCTGTTGGGCATCGTACCCATTCTTTCCGCGCCCATCTCGGGCGTCCAGATTAAAGAAGCTATATATATGGATAGAAAAGAAGTGTTTGAATCCAGGAACGACAAAGATTTTGAAGTCAAGAGCCAGGCTTTGGGATTCAAAGAAAACTGGCTTTTGAATTCAAAAGCCAAGCGCTTTGAATTCGGAAACCAGTTTTTATGTCAAAACAAAATTTGCGAGTGCAATTCTTTAACATGAAAAATGATATTCAAAAAGAAGCAGTTCCTGGGCGAGGTGGTCTCTCAGGCCCCCATCGGCGCTCAGTGGGCGCTGGGGCGCCGACGCTTTCCCCCCCCCCCGAGCCCACCGCCCCCTCACGCTGCCCCTTTTGAGCAGGGGCACCGGAGGAGGAGGAGGAGGAGGAGGAGGAGGAGGACGTTGCCCCTTGAGGAGGGGCGTCGGACGAGGAGGAGGACGTTGCCCCTTGAGGAGGGGCGTCGGAGGAGGCGGCGGCGGAGGAGGAACGTTGCCCCGCGGGGGGATCGGAGAACAGGGACGCACCGCCGATGCCGCGGAGATGCGTCGGCAGCGCCTGTGTCTGGGCGTCGCCGGCGAGGAGGCTGCGCGGCGCGCGCGTCCGCGGCGCGGCTCGGCCCTCCGGCCCCCGGGGCCCATGTTTTGAGCGTTATATATATACATACATATACATATATATATATATGTGTGTGAATGTATATATAGATATATATATATATATATAGATAGAAAAAAAGGTTGGGGTATTTCTTGTCTTTCGCCGAAGCTCCCCCTGCAGGGGGGCACGCCCGACATAAGGCGAGTGGAGACAACGGCACCTCACAATCGGCCTCCGGACCCCTCCCGGGGCCCAGACGCACCAGCTTCCCGCGACGCGGCCCGCCGTGGCGACGAGGGCCCCCCCCGATCAGCGACGTCTCCACTGGCCCTCCTCCGAGAGGGAGGGGTTCGGAGCCGACTCCAGCCGACCGCCTCTCAGAGCTCGAGATGCAAAACCCCGCAGGAGCACCTGCACGCCGCCTGCTGCCCTCCGCCGCCTGGTAAGCTCCCTGAGGCAGCGCGGGGGATTGGTTTTGAGCTCAACGCCCGCACAGCTTCGGTGAAAAACAAAACCAGCGGCGGCGGCTGGGAAGCCGATGCTGGCAGTGAGGGAGACCTCACTGACTGAAAGGGTACCTCCGAAGCGGAAACTTCAGGAACCAGAAATCCAGAAACCCATCTCTTGGAAGATATGACCTGCCCGATCTGGGCGCTTTTCCGATCTCGGCATGTGGGGGACGTGTTCGGGCCCCGGGGTAGTCAGAAGCGGATCCTGGGCGAAAAACTCGCCCAAGGGAAGACGTCGGATGTCTGGCACATTCGATCCCCCCTCTCCGAAGGAGAATGACGACGACGAGGACGGACGCAACGGGGCCTCCTCCGGCCCGCCGCCGCCCCGGGGCAAGTTTGTCACCCCGAGTCGCTTCGCTGACGATTCTGCAGCGCACGGCTTCCAGGAGGGCAACACGTCGAACATACATCCATCACGTTTTCTTGGTCTTGCGACGCGATCAGCGGGCGGTCGGGGGTCAGGGCTCCCCCGCTGGGCCGACCTTCCCCCCAACGTGGCCCCTGACGGACGCGTGGGGCCACCTCCAGCCCCGAAGTTCCCCACGTCCCCCTCTCGAGAAGCAGAGAGGAGGATCAGGCCGGCCCTGACGACGACGGGGACGGACGGACGCGTTGGGGCCGCGTCAGGCCCACGCGCCCCCCCTCCTCCCCAGACATCCGACGTCTTGATTTTTTCGAGACACGGGCCTCCGACCTCCCGACCACTTCCCTGGGACCGGTCGTTTTTTGACGGCCCCGAGGCCCGGCGAGGGCCCCGAGAGGCGAAAAACTGCGAAAAGCCTCCGTCTCGATTTTTTCGAGACGCCCGATGTCTGGGTCCCTCGAGAAGCAGGAGGAGGACGACGACAACGACGACGCGAGCGGCAGGATGGAGCGCTGGGACCGCAGGCCCCACGCACCCACGCCACGACGACGACGACGACGCCGGACGCACGGGGCCGCGGCCCCCCCCCGCCCCCGAGGACGACGAGCACGGACGCAGCGCTGCGTCCACGAGCAGCAGGCAAGCACAGCGCGGGCGGCATCGGGGGGCAGAACCCCCTCGCAGACGCACCGGCGCCGCCGCACCGGGGAGGCGGCGGGGCCTCGGCCGGCGGCGACGGCGACGAACGGATGGACGGACGGCGGGGCCTCGGCCGCGCACTCGGCCCTCTTCCGAGACCGGGGTCCCCCCCGCCCACTACTCGCAGCCCAGACAGCCCTCCCAAGGGCAAGGGACAAAAATATAGACGGCAACATCAGCACACCACCAACAACACCAACAACTACACCAACAGCAACAAGAACATCCAAATTCAGCAGCAGCAGCAGCACAAGCAATAACAACAACTAGTATTAGTAGTACCAGTAGTACTTCTACTACTACTGCCACTACTACTTCTTCTTCTTCTACGACTACTACTACTACTACTACTACTACTACTACTACTACTACTACTACTACTACCACTACCACTACCACTACCACTACCACTACCACTACCACTACCACTACTACTACTACTACTACTACTACTACTACTACTACTACTACTACACCGACTACTACTACTACTACTACAACTACTTCTTCTCCTACTACTACTACTACTACTACTACTACTACTACTACTACTAGAACTACTACTACTACTACTACAACTACTACTACTACTACTACAACTGGAACTACGATTATTATTACTACTACTACTACTACTGCTACGACCACGACTGCGACTACGACAAATACTACGACCACGACTACGACGACTTCTTCTTCGGAAACTACTGCTACGATTAAGACTACTACTACGACGACTACTACTACGACTACCACTACGACTACTACGACTACTACTACGACTACTGCTACTACTACTGCCGCTACGGTTACTACTACTACAAACATTGCGACTACGACTACAACTTCGACTACTATAACTACGGCAACTAGTACTACTAGTTCTACTGCTACTACTACTACTACTACTACTACTACTACTACTACTACTACTACGACTACTACTAGCACTACTACTACTACTACTACTGCTACTACTACTACTACCATTACGACTACGACTACGACTACTACGACTACTACGACTACTACGACTACTACGACTACTAGTACTACTACTACTACTACTACTACTACTACTACGACTAATACTACGACGACCTTTACTCGTACTAGTGGTGGTACTGGTACACGTTGTACTGGTAGTAGTGGTAGTAGTAGTAGTAGTAGTAATATTGTAATAGTAGCCGTCGTCGTCGTAGTAGTAGCAGTAGTAGTAGTAGTAGTAATAATTAGTAGTAGTAGTAGTATCAGTGATAGTAGTAGTAGTAGTAGTAGTAGTCGTAGTAGTAGTAGTAGTCGTAGTAGTAGTAGAGGTAGAATAGTCGTAGTCGTAGACGTGGTAGTAGTAGTAGTAGTAGTAGTAGTAGTAGTAGAAGTAGTAGTAGTAGTAGTAGTAGTAGTAGTCGTAGTAGTAGTAATAGTAGTAATTGTTGCTGTTCTACTTGTACTACGACGACTAGCAGTACTACTACTAGTACGCCGACTACTACTACTACGACTACTACTACTACTACTACGACTACTTCGACTACTATTACTTCTACTACTGCTACCCAGCCTTTGGACGACCAGACTGGGTACGAAACAATGGGCACGATGACCCGAAACAGCAAATGTTGTCCAAAACCGACAGCGCTGCAAGGTAGGCGGCCTGATGTCTCAAGTGGACAACGCCTGTGGTGGCACCGAGAACGAGCCCTGTTCAAAATGGACAAGAACTGCTGCTGGTCTTCGTCCTCATCCCTTCCGTACCCATCGCGATCGCACCAGACTGCTAACCTCAGGTCGGGCATGTCCCCCTGCAGCCGCATCTTGGAGGGAAAAGTAGAGTCAAAGACAACAGTCGCGAGGCACTTGCAACATAGCATGAAACCATGGAGCCCTAGACCCCATCTTGCTGCCCGAGACAAATCGATCTGTAATGGTCCCAGCGCCCCGCACTTGGTGAAAACGCCTGGTGAGAAACTATTGCCACGCCTGGATCGCAGGAATCGGTGATATACTGACCTGGGCCAGTGCAAACCCGGATGAGGCCTTGCAGGATCCTGCAAGATTCTGCAGGCTCCTGCAGGATCCTGCACGCCAGCCCAGGCCAGTGCGACCCTGGCTCTGCAGGATCCTGCACGATCCAGCGGTCTGGCTGACCCCCGTTTGCATCAACCCCCGCCCCTGAAACCTCCACTCTCTCGCGCGGCGCGCGGCCCGGCGGCCCCTCCAGAGGCCCTCGGAGACCTCTGGCGTGGCGGCGACGAGACGGCGGCGAGGGGACCAAGACTTCCAACGTCATGATTTTTTCATGACGTCGACCCCCTGAAGTCTGGACCCCTTCCCCAGGACCAGATGTTCATCCTGTGTCGTTTGTGTGACGGTCCCGAGGCCCGGCGAGGTCACCCATAGACCGAAAATTACGAAAAACCTCCAGCCATGTTTTCTTCATTACTCGAGGGGGTCTGGGGACGGCGGCGGCGTCTGGAACGCGGCGGTGGCGAGGACGGCGGCGGCAGCGAAGGCGGCGGCGAGGACGGCGGCGTCTCAAGGACTCCCAGGGAAGCACGGACCGACGGCGCGGCGTCGGCCTCGGCCTCCTCCAGCATCGGCGCCCCCGCCTTCAGCGGCGCCGTGTTGAGACGGCGCACGGCCTGCACGTTCGCCTTCGCGCCGCCGACGCACGCGCGCGGCGTGGCCGCGCCAGCCCATCACCACGCGCGGCGCGCGGCCCGGCGCGGCGCCTACGGAGGCCGTCGGAGGCCTCCAGCGTGGCGGCGAGGGGGCGGCGGCGAGGGGACGGCGTCGGCGGCGGGAAGGACGGCGAAGAGGACGGCGGCGGCAGCGACAGCGGCGGTGGCGAGGACGGCGGCGACACGGCGGCGAGGACGGCGGCGGCAGCGACGACGGCGGCGACGGGACGGCGGCGGCGGCGAGGGCGGCGGGGACGACGGCGGCGACGGAACCGCGGCGGGTGGCGGCGGCGGCGATGGCGGTGAGAGGGGCCCGCAGGGGGCCCGCCCAAAAGGCTCCCAAGAGCATGGTAAGAGACCCCAAGAAAGGGGCACCGATAGAGAGAGGCAGTCCATCTACTCCTCTGGGCTGAAGTGGCTAATTGCGCTTCCTCTTCCATCATCCCCCGTTCTTCCCTCTCAGGGAGCGATCTGACAAACGGGCGACGCTCAGCACCACCGATAGAGGCTCCCTGGCCCACAGGCTCCCTGGCCCACAGGTTCGAAGGGCGCACAAAGGTGAAAGCCCCGAGTGGCTGGCGGTGGAAGGCCCTGCGGGGGCCAGAGACAGAGAAGGAGGCGAATGTGGTGCTCGCCGCCCTGGCTCAAGAGAAAGGGAATTCCCACACTCCGCTCATGCTAGGCTCAAGCGTTGCACTGCTCCTTATGAGCAAACTCCACGCCAGGTACAGTGCCACAGCCCACCACCATCCCAGTCAGACAATAGTGCAGATTACACGCTGCGGCAAACTCTGGCTAACGCTCGGGCGCCCCGCGATGGCCCGCACTGCTGACTGACAGGGGCGACGGGGGGGTCACTACAGTCGGGGTTTATTGGAGAGGACACGCGAGAGGACACAAGACCGAGGGCCACATTACCATGGAAATCTACGAAGGCATTGGTCGTGAGGCGCAAGGGTGCCCTCGATTTGGCAAGTTCGACTTACTAATCAGTCTCGACTGTATATCACCCCGCGTGCGCGGGTGAAATACGGCGGGCTCGTGTCGTGTCGCCCTCGGCGTTGGTTCCTGACACAGCGGGGATCGTCCAAGCTTGAACGATTGGCCGTGTTTACGAAACGCACCATCGTTCAACATCGACCGATGCTGGGCCACGGGCGGCATTCAACGTTCAGCGCCATTGGCGGGGTCGCCGCCGGTCGACACGTCGCGAATATACGGCATTCCTGTTTCAAAGCAAAGCAAAGCAAAGCAAAGTGCACGTTGCGGCAACATCTTCGACAATGCGTGAGCTCCCCGCGATCATGTTGCATGTCTCGTCTGACGGGGGCGATGGTGGGCCAGAACGCAAACGACACCACCCTGGCTACGGCCCCACGGATCTTGGCGTATACCAGGAGATCTGGCGAAGGTTGTTGGATGGCACACGCTGCGGCCACATTTGAGCAGGGACCGACCGTCCCGGCATTCCTATAGCCATACCACGAAATGTTCTTAGAACCCAAACATGTTCTAAGAACAAAAACAATGTTCTTAGAGCATAAACCCGATGTGGTAAAACAAGACAGCCCCAGCCAGACATGTTCTAAGAACATCTCGTGGGAACCACAAAAAAGGTTCTTAGAACATTGTTTGGCGGGGCTATAGGCGAGCCGGGACGCATCGCCACTGCCTGAAACATGGATGGCCGCAGGTTGCGTGGCGTCGTTTGTTGGTCGACGATGGGGGTGTTCCCCCCCACTTGCCATATTTTGACATATTTTCTGGGGAATCGACGATTAATTTTGTCTGTGTTGTTTCCCCTCCTGATTGTTTTTTGGTCGACGATAGGGGGTGCACAAGGCACGCGCGGCGCACTTCGTGGGCGCCGCGCACCCGGCTGGCGTCTGCCCGGGTAACCCCGGGGGGCTGCCGAGGGGAGCCCCCGCGCCGAAGCCGAGCCCCTCGGGTGCAGCCGCTGTGGCGAAGGGGCCCCAGGACCCACAGATAAATACACACAGATAAAAAGATGCCCCATAGTTTCCCATATCTCCTGGGTCTCTGTCTTTCCCCCCCCCCCTTCCCACATCTTCCCGTCTTTTCTGGGAGTCCACGATTACTTGTGTCTGTGTGTTTCTTCCCCTCCTCCTGTGGGGGGGCCGCTGGAGGCCCAGAAGTAGACGCCAGCACCAGGAGCAGGGTCGGTGCGTCCACGGGGGGAGGATGATCGTAGTTTTGGGCGTGGGTGGCGGCAGCTCGGCCACCCAGGAGAGGAGGAGGAGGAGGAGGAGGAGGAGGAGGAAGAGGAGGAAGAGGATGAGGAGGAGGAGGAGGAGGAGGGGGGAGGAGGAGGAGGAGGATAATAATAATAAGGATAAGGCCCTTGGGGGTAAAAACACGAGTACTACCACCATCACCGAGATGAGGATCATCTTCCCTTGGTGGATGCCCACCGCCAAAATTGTTGGTGCCAACTTCTAGGCCCTAGGCTTCCTGCCGGCTGGTGGGAGTGAGCAAGACGATCGTCCTTCAGGGAGTGTAGCTTGACTCCGCCCCCTCACCCACAGAGAAATGGCAAGGCTAACCCACGCCGCCCAATGCTTTACCCCAAGACTCCAAGGCTGCCCGGAACACCCCGAGGAGAGAGTCTCAATTGGCCCGAGGGGGACCCAAGAGGCCCCCAAGAGGCCCAAAGAGCCCCAAGAGGCCCAAAAGAAGCCGCGAAGAGTCCCCCTGGCAGCCCCCAAGAGGCCCCAAAGAAGCCTCATGCGGTCCCAGCGAAATCCAAGAAGCCCTCCAAGAGCCGACACGAGGCCCTCAAGACGGCACAAGACGCCGCGAGTAAATCCCCAAGAGCCACACCAAAAGACCCAAGGAGGTATCCAGTGGCCCTCTGGCCGGCCGGGGCTCCCAGAGGTGTCCCGATGATACCACGCCCCTCCCCGAACAGGGCAATTCCACTGGGCATCGATCCTGGATGGGCTGGTCGGGATATTTTTTGCTCGCGAGCACAAGCGGAAGTGCGGCGCGCCGTCCAGAGCTACAGCTGACTAGCAGCAGCCTAAATTGCACACTTGAGAGAGAGAGAGAGAGAAGAGAGTCAACGACAAGAGAACAGCGGGAGGTGAGGCTGGTGGGGATACTTTTTTGGTTCGCGGCTCCAAGGCGGATGACAGGGAGCAAAGGCAGCGTCCGTGGCGCGTGACGATGTAAATTGGCCACCGAGGCACATGCACGTGCAAGGGACAAAATGACCCTCATTAAAACGCAAGCTGCTGGTGGGGATACGTGAAGCATGAAGTTGCTGTCATGGCTCGTCCAGGGGTGTGTTCATGGCCCCTGTTTTGTTTCGCTTGGCCCAGACAGCAGGTACGAAAGTGCACCCTGAGCCCCAAGATGGCCAGGCTGCGAGACGGCGCCAGCTTTTTTTGTTGTGTCCTGGGGAGGGCTGGATAGACAAAACGGGAGCAGCACCAAAGCTGCAGAAGTGTTAGCCAACCGCAGCTCGTGTAAGCTAGTTACACTGACCAAAGTTCGATTCAGCCGAGCTCAGCCCAGCCAGATCAAGCTAAGTTCAGCTGGGCCAAGCCACGTACAACACAGCCCAGTTTAGCTGATACGCTCACATATTTAAGCAACACCGCGTCAAGCCAGGTCAACATGTGCCAAGTGCTAAGATGAGCTCTGCTTCGCTTTGTTCTGCAAAGCTGCGCTAAGCTGAGTCAACCCACGTCGAAAAAAAAAACCAGCCAAGCCAGGCTGTGGTGATATTGCCTGCGCCACGCTACGCCAAGCTGAACTATGAGCAGTGGTGCTGACCAATTATCGAATAAGTTTCAACCCCAAAAAATCGGGAGAACACACCGCTACGTAACCATCGCTGAAGCAGAAAGGTAACGCGCGACTGGCCAAGCTTAGTTCAGCCTGCTCACTCCTTCGGTTAGGCGTCGAATCGATTCTGGACAAGCTGGTGGGAATACGCGACGCGTCCAGGCGATGGGGCCGCCTTCTAAGAAGACAGGAGGCTTCTAAAGGGACCAGTCCCTGAAAAACGTTCCGCCCAACAGACATCCCAAGAAGGAGGCCGCCGAACGTGGGGTGGAAATAAACGGGCTTGGAGGATCGCACCGCGTGACCGGCGACGTCTGGATTGAGAACATCTGCCAGATGATCGTGCCGCATCGTGCCGCATCGGCGATGCGGTGCGATCGGCCGCCCCCAACGATACGACCAACACACACACACAAACTGCGAAGCGGAGGTCGGGGGCTGCTGCAGGTGCCCCTGGCCCAAGGTGCCTCCAGCTTTTCGCTCAAGCCTGGAGCCCCTGCGGCCCTCTGGGCCTCGTGCGGGGTGCCCTGGAGGCTGTGGGGAGCCTCCTTGGAAATCCTGGGGGCACCTTGGGCCAGGGGCACTTCCAGCAACACCCGAGGAGTCGGCGGTGGACAAGGCTCCCTTTAGTGAACCTCCCCTTAGTGAAAACGGCCTGGGACCAAAACCGACGGATCTGGACCCGCAAAAGTGACGGCCGCGGCGCCCTCTCGCGAAACGAAGACGGCCAATTCCTTAATCGACGTGTCAGGACAGGAGGCCTGTCCACCCCCCGAGTGCCCTGGAGGCCGTGGGAGCTTCCTTGGAGATCCTGGGGGCACCTTGGGCCAGGGGCACTTCTAGCAACACCCGAGGATTGAGCAGGGACCAGCCGTCCCAGCATTCCTGCAGTCCTCCCACGACATGCTCTTAGAATCCAAAAAATGTTCTTAGAACAAAAACAGTGTTCTTAGAGCATGAACCCCGATGCGTTAAAACAGGACAGACTCCGCCAGACATGTTCTCAGAGCATGCCGTGGAAACCGCAACATGTTCTTAGAACACTGTTTGGCAGGGCTACAGGCACGCCGGGACGCTCCGCCACTGCTTGAGAGCAGGGCCTCCGCAGAGACCCGTCGGGTCCGGAACGGTGCCAGGGCCCGCCTCGGCGCCCCCCCTCCCCC